ATCAGAGGGGGAGACAAACCATGAGAGACTATGGACTCTGAGAAACAAACTGAGGGTTCTAAAGGGGAGGGGAATGGGGGGATGGGTTAGCCTGGTGATGGGTATTAAAGAGGGCATGTACTCCACGGAGCACTGGGTGTTATACACAAACAATGAATCATGGAACACTACATCAAACACTAATGATGTATTAACATAACATAACATAATTGTTATTTGATTAATATAACATAATTTAAAAAAAGCATTGACAGTGGAGAAGATTTAGAGGTGACCCTTTTTTATTTGAATATCCTAATTGTAATGAGGCAGTGTCTTTTACTGATCCCCACATGCATCATGTGTCTCCTACTCTGAACCAACTGTTTGCCCTTGTTGCTTTTTTTTTTTTTTTTAACCCACTGGATTATCCTCTCTCCAATTCTGTCCAGTGTTTAAAAATCTGTTAAGGATACACAAAATCCACCAACTTGACACCTCCTTACAGTATTTCAACCAATTCTGAAATCTCTTATTTCTGAAATCTTACAGCATAAATTTCCCATATTTTTTAATTGTTTAGATGATGAGAGTCTTTCCCTTGCAACAAACTGTAAAAAGCTTAAAAGCAAGCATTACTTCGTGCATGTTTTTATGTCTGACTTGAAAGATGATAGATACTAATTGTTGTTTCAAAAATTTTGACCTAGATTACTGAGAGAGAGCCCTGAAGACAGTCAGCACAACGGCTCAGACATCCTAACCTTTTTCACTGCTGCACCTTTGCCCCTTCCCCTACGGGCCCCTGTAAAAACTGGTGTCTGGCTAAGCAGGGATGCACTTGATATTTTCAGGAATCACTGACATTCCAGGACGTGGCAGTGAACTTCACCAGAGAAGAATGGGACCAGCTGTACCCTGCTCAGAAGAACCTTTACCGAGATGTGATGCTGGAGAACTACAGGAATCTGGTAGCACTGGGTAAGGATGTTGTCCCTGTAAAAGTAGAAACCATTCTAAATGGGTTTATTTATATTAAGTGGTGAAAATTTCCAAATCTTTTGTGAATGTAGTTCAGAATGCTAATCAGTGCTGGAGACAGAGGACTTTTGTTTCCTGCTGTTTCTCCTCAGGTAAAAGGTCTTGACTTTATTGAGTTTGAGATGGGTAGCTTTATTTTGCTGCTTCTGAAGTTTCCCCTTTCCAAATCCAGAGGCCCTAAAGACCAAAAAGGTTGGAAATGAGTTCTGAGAGAAATTTTTGTTCCTTGTACAAACTTCTATGACATACATTTTTTCCATGAATAGGGCATCAACTTTATAAGCCAGAGGTGATCTCTCATTTGGAGCAAGAGGAGCAGTGGGTGATGGAAAGAGACAGCCCACTGGATACTCACACAGGTGAGGAGCAAGCATTTGGGTATTTGCTGCTCAGTGATGAGAAGCAGTTGCTTCTGAAATATTCAACTTACTGTGCTCCAAGTCTCTGCCTCTGGGATTTAAAGAATACTGAGGCCTTTTTAAAAATCCAGTTTATGTTTGACTTTGTTCCAAAGTGGAAATGGCCCTCTTATTTTTTTTCCAATTAAACAGATAATATATACTTATTATTATTATTATT